CAAAAGAGGACGATATCCGCTTCGTCATACCTAGAGCTGATCCGTGCTGGTCGCTGTGGGAATACAGCAACTTTGCGCTGTGGATCGCCGGATCGGCTTTCACCGTGGACGAAGCGGAGTCCAGCCCGGGGTCGTCACATGTGGTTGCCGTTAGCCCGCCCGCAGCCGCTCCTTCATCGAATCCGCCTGCCGCCGCTCACTCTTGCTGCTGGCCTGTGTCTTTTGCAGCTTCTCGTACATAACGTGGTGTAGTCATGAGGTGCTAGTTCAAATTTAAAAATGCTTCTACAAACAAAGTTTCATCTGCAGATATGGTCTTGTTTAGGGATCTGTGCCTTTGTGCATACGGACTTCTAAGTAGTGATTGTGTTTTTCAGCAATAGTGTGCACCCTTAATTTACAGAGAAAAGAAGGTCAGAGAAAAATCTGTAGATGGAAAAATCTCCATACAAGTTCTTTGTGCATTTTTCTTTTTTTCTACTTGTTACTTTGCACTTTTTGTTAGAAAATGTTTATTTACTATCTATTCAATATGCTGCTTATATGTATATAATCATATGCTGTTAAATTATGATTATATATTCAGTGGCATAAAATGGTCTTTTAAAATGACAATAATATCGCTTATCGCAATTATTTCTGGGGCAATATATCGCACAACAAAAAGTTGTTATCGTGACAGGCCTAGGCGCGATGCATTACATTGAATTACATTGGTTGTAATTCATTTCTGCAACTGTACCTTTAAGACTTCTATATGCAGATGACCTTCTGTTTTGAATGATAAACCTACTTGTAGCATAATCTGGATCTGGTGGTTTTCAGTCCGTTTAAAAAAAAAAAATTTTTTTTATGTGCGTTCTCAGATTTGTGCTCTGATTTGATGCATATTAATGATATTCTCCATGTCCTCGTCTGTAGCCTCTGCCGTTCTCCTCCAGGCCTCTCTACTCTATGACCATGCTCAACTTGTCTCTCTGCTTCACCGGATTCCGTAAAAAAGATGAAGTGGTGAGTTCTGCATGTCCACTCGTCTAATCACTGTCAGATTACTTACTCTAATTAACTGTGCTTTTCTTCAGGTTACCCTGGTAAATCTCGTCCATCACATGGGTGGCACCATCCGAAAAGACTTTGACAGTACTAAAGTCACACACCTCATCGCCCGTTCAACACATGGTGAAAAGTACAGGGCATGTATCCACCGCATCCACATGTATACATCATCCTTACTAGCCACTGATTTTTGTGTATAGTGAATCGGCAGGAAGAAAAAAACAAAACAGATTTTCAGTTGTGAAATTCTTTCTGATTCACCCTGCTGTAATGGCACTATGCTGCCACATATCAAATCAAATCACTTATTTACTCCACCATATCCACCAGTGTAAAAGATGAGTTAAACACTTCGCTCTGCGCTCTACCGGAGAGCGAAATATATATATGCATAAAAGTGTAAAGGACAGTATATGTGCATGTAATACACAGATGTATAAAATGTGCTTTTTGATATTGTGGATGAAAATCAGTTTAAGGAACTGTTTTGAAAATTCTGATGTCCGGAGTTTTGTTTGAGGTCCTTGTAGCATGGGAGCATGTACTGTTTAAAAGTTTAGGGGTTAGTAAGATTATTTATTTATTTTTATGGAAATTAATACTTTTATCCAGCAAGGATGCATTAAATTGATCAAGTGTGACCGTAAATGCATTCATAACGTTCATGGTAAGCATCATGGTTCATGGCTAGACTTGTGCCGGTATTCGGTAATGCGATATATCACGGTAATGAATATGCACGATATTGTTATCGTGGGCACTTCTAAATACCGTGAATAATTATATATTACAAATTATTCCTAATTTTGAATGCATTTTAAGAATACTTTTCCCATCAACTGGTCAAAATGCACAACACCGCTGTATGCTGCTTGAAAGACAAGTGCACACTCTGATGTAAATAAGCGCGGACGAGAAGCACATGGTGGAACATGTGAGAGACGCTCTGGATGAAAGCGCACTTTCACTCTCTGACAGCAGATGGCGCTAAACTGCAGAAATAATAATAATAATAACAATAATAATAATAATAATAATTCATTTAAATGCAGCCGTTACCCCGGAAACCCTGTAAACAAAGCAGCGGCACTACTTTCTGTTTCTGAATCGTGTTTAAATGATTTAAACAGCCATTCAGATTTGTGTATTTGCTATGATGTTCATCACAGCGCCAAATACTTAAATATTTAGACTTAATAGGCTATTTATTTTCAAACTTTTTTTTACATTTTAATCTGGACTACAACATGCCCTAGATATTGTTTGAAAGTGTTTTGATTATTTATTGTTCGGTCACACTTTACATTAGGGCTTCATTAGATAACATTAGTTAACATAAACTGCCAATGAAAAATTCTTCTGAACATTCATTAATCTTAGGTAATTACAATATTTAATAACACGTTGTTAAAATCGAAAGTTGCAACTGTGTTATTTAATGAGCTAACATGAACTAAGACTTGTATTTTTTAAACAAAGATTAATAACTTCTGTAGCAAATGTAGCTATTGCTCATTGTGAATGTTAATGCATTAACTAAGGTTAACTAATGAGGTCTTATTGTAAAGTGATACCTATTGGTCTTTATAGTTCTTTTGCACTTTAATCTGTGTAAAACTTTTAACTTTATACATTTTTCTGTATTGCTTTATTGCATTTAAATGTTCAGTTATTTTTGTTATAAGAAAAAAGTTATTAAACCTGTTATACTGTATTATAACAGCACTTTTGTTAAACTAAATTTCAGTATCGTGATAATACCGCATACCGTGATAAAAGCATTAGCAATTAATCGCAACATGAGAATTTGATACCAGCATATCCCTAACTCTGATAAACCGTATATTGCCGTAGTCGTGTGTTTATTAGTCACGTTGAATCAATGAAAGCAGTTGAATCTTCTGTTTATTCAGCTGCAGCGATAGGCATTTTCTGGGTTTCTTCTGCGAGGCGTATTTGGAGT